TTCAGAGAAAAGAACTGCCAGAGAGCTGGAGATTAGAGCTTAATGGTAGAGCACCAGTCTAGCTTATGTGGGGCTCTAGATTCAATCCTTGGTAGAGCTAACAACAGCAGCAACAAAAAGGTAATAATACTAAGACAAAGGGGGAAAGAGAGGAGAGTTGTATTGGGAGAGGGTGAAGGTTTGAACTGGAAGTAAATGGGGCGGAGTAAGCCCAAGCTGCCACTCACACATAAGTAAGCATCCTAGGCCGTGCATATCGACTCGGGGATGCAAGGCTTTGCTTCTGTCGCTGCCCGTGTGCACGGTACACAAATGTATATCCGCTGTCATGCTGCGTCCCCACGAGGCCAGGAAGGCAAGCGTTACGACTCTCGCTATACAGATGAAGAAACTGAGGCTGTGGTAAAGGAAGTGACTCATTTGTTCAAGGCCCCACGGTTAGCAGGGAGCCAGCCATGTGATACAATGAAGAAAACTTACAGAGGATTTTGGATCGCAGAACTGAGTTTGTGTCCCAGCCCTCATACTCTAAATAGCTGTGTGAGGCTGGACTACTGAGTTTGGTTTCTTTGTAAAATAGAAGTCCTACCAGTAGGTCATGGGGAGGATCAGGTAACATGATACGATGCCATCTGTAAAGACTTGTACCGTACAAGTGTTTCATTGAGGGTCAAGGTCAGCAGGTGAGCCCGGTAGGTCAGATTCGGGTATCTAGTGCTCTTGATCACACGCCACACCTTGTTTTGGACACTAACTCATTCATAATCCTTTTCCGGTGTCAGGCCCTCTTCCCTCACCAGCCCGGAAGCTCTTCTCCCTCCCAACTCCTCCGAGCGCTGACTTACTGATCGCTGGTTGATAACCACTCCCTAGAGAGTCTGTAGTGCTTTCGGTCTCTAGGGCCTTGTGACTGCTGGCCAGAAGTCCCTCCTTGCCTTCCTGCCCGTGTCAGTTCTTTACTGGACTTGGAGGGTCTTAGTCTTTTGTTTTTTTGGGGGGGGGTTTAAGACAGGGTTTCTCTGTGTAGCTTGGACCTGTCCTGAAACTCGATCTGTAGACCAGACTGGCCTGGAACTCACAGAGACCTGCCTGCCTCTGCCTTCAGAGTAGGACTGAAGACGTGCGCCGCCGCCGCCGCCGCCGCCACCACCACCTCCAGTGAGGTGTCTTACCTCTGCTTAGTCCCCCTCTGTGTTGATCTGAAGATTTCAGGCCCAGGAGTGAAATGCCAGGACTCAAATAATGCAGTGGACACAAGAATGATCCCTGCCCCTGAGGCTTTTTTTAGCTATTTTTTTTAAAGTTAGTATATATATAATAAAATTTCATTACGAAGTTTTCCTGTGTGCATCATATTTATCATTATACTTTGCTCATAGTCACCCCTCCTCTTTCACACTGATGTCCTTCCTCTTCCCAGATAGTTCCCCTTCTGCTTTCATGTCACATACACACGCACACATATTTAAATCTGATATATATTTAAATTTAGATTTCACATATGAGAGAAAGCATGCAATATGTTTTCCTCCTTAAGTAAGCCTGTCGGTTTTGGTTTTTGTTTTGAGACAGGGTTTTACTATATATTTTTGGCTGGCCTAGAACTCATTAGGTAGACTAGGTTGGTCTCAAACTTACAGTAATCCTCTTGCCTCCGCTGCCTGAGTGCTGGGATTATAGGTAAACACACCACACTCAGCTGTGTATGCGTGTGTCGGTATGTGCGTTTTGCATGCGTGCCGGTTTCCTCAGAGGCCAGAGGCATAGGCTTCCCTAGATCTGGAGTTACAGGCAATTGTGGAGCTATTCAAAGAGGATGCTGGGAATTGAACTCAGGTCTTCAGAGCAGTACCTGCTCTTAACTGCTGAGCCATCTCTCCAGCCCTGTCATAGACCTTTTACCTTCATTTCTTGGAAAGAATAACAGACCCAGAGGGGATAAGTACCTTGTGCTTGGCTGCAGCAAGTCATAGCTGAGATAGAACTTACTCTCTGGTCTTCCAGTCTGAGGTTCTTTCTACTGCCCCAGAGGGCCTTTATTTACATTACTACCCACTCCAAGGGTCTATCTGAAGATCTGAAGGTTGAAAACATACTCATATAAATCAAATGGGAATCCTGTTAATGGGAACATGAGAAGTAGCCTCATCAAGTAATACCATTTCCCTCCCAGCTAGTCCTAGAAGAAGCTGCAGCCTGGGAGAAAACCAGTGCCAATGCTTGGGTCCATTGCAGCCCACTTCCCAACAAGGGGTCCCCCACAACCATCATGCACACTGTCTTTAATTTTGAGGCTTTGGATCAAATATTGGGAGATCAGACTAGTGAGAGGAGCCCATATGTAGTAGATGGTCTAGCAGACCCTTGTATCGAGGAAGAATAAAAATAGCTAGCATTAATTAACCAGGTACTATCCTCAATGTTTTTTTTTTTTTTTTTTTTTGTTTTGTTTTGTTTTTTAAAGATTTATTTATTTATGATGTAAACAGAAGAGGGTGCCAGATCTCATTACAGATGGTTGTAAGCCACCATGTGGGTGCTGGGAATTGAACTCAGGACCTCTGGAAAAGCAGTCAGTGCTCTTAACCTCTGAGCCATCTCTCCAGCCCATGTTTTTTGTTTTTTGTTTTTTTTGTTTTTTTTGTTTTTTTGTTTTGTTTTGTTTTGTTTTTTTGGTTTGGTTTTTGGTTGTTTTTGTTTTGTTTTGTTTTTCAAGACAAGGTTTTCTCTGTAGCTTTGGAGCCTATCTTGGAACTCACTCTATAGACCAAGCTGGCCTCGAACTCACAGAGATCTGCCTGACTCTGCCTCCTGAGTCCTAGGATTAAAGGCGTGCGCCACCCCCCCACACTCCCCCACCCCCGGTGTTCTATGTTTTAAATGTAATAACTAATCCATACAATAAGTATGTGGAGCCGATATTATACTCATTTTGCAGATAAGAAAACTGAGGTTCAGAGGAGTGGTTTGTCCCCTGTCATTGCTAGAAACAGCAGTTGGACTGGGATTTGATCTTAGGCTGGTATTAGAGCTCATATAATGCTGCAGCTTGGCAGCATCTTGCTCCCTACCTCTCCTTGTTTCTAATGTTTGTCTTGATGAGATTTGGGGATGATGTCAGGATAACTGAGAGCAAGAAATGGGTTTTCTCTGTATATCTTCATCTTCTCAATAGGGACAGGTCTCCTAAGTCAAGAATGTCCCTCTCATCTCTCCGTAGGTTACGACTTCCAGTGGGGTCCAGAAGAGCGGGGAGGCCACGCCTCCATTGCGGCGGCTTTACACACAATGCAGAGCATCAAGTGTGTGGTGGTGGGCGATGGGGCTGTGGGCAAGACGTGCCTTCTCATCTGCTATACGACTAATGCCTTCCCCAAGGAATACATCCCCACGGTGTTCGATAATTACAGCGCCCAGAGTGCAGTTGACGGGCGCACGGTGAACCTGAACCTGTGGGACACTGCGGGCCAGGAGGAATACGACCGCCTCCGCACCCTTTCCTACCCTCAGACCAACGTCTTTGTCATCTGTTTCTCCATTGCCAGTCCACCCTCCTATGAAAATGTGAGGCACAAGTGGCACCCAGAGGTGTGTCACCACTGCCCCGATGTGCCTATCCTCCTGGTGGGCACCAAGAAGGACCTGAGAGCCCAGCCTGATACCTTACGGCGCCTCAAGGAGCAGGGCCAAGCGCCGATCACACCGCAGCAGGGCCAGGCACTGGCCAAGCAGATCCATGCTGTGCGCTACCTCGAGTGCTCGGCACTGCAGCAGGACGGCGTCAAGGAGGTGTTTGCCGAGGCGGTCCGGGCAGTGCTCAACCCAACTCCGATAAAGCGTGGGCGGTCCTGCATCCTCTTGTGACCCCGGCACTCAGCTTGGAGGCTACCCCGTGTCCCCGCACCAGTTGTGCCTTGGCGCCTTGTCTGCCCCCAGCTGTGCCTTAAGGACTAATTCTGGCACCCCTTCCCCGGGGGGACTCCCTGAATGCCTTTTATTCCTTAAGGAGGTACACAGGGAAAGGGGCTTTGGGCCCCACCCCACTCTGCTTGGGAATACCAAGTATTCCATGAGTTCACCCAAGCCAGGTTGACCTTTCCAAGAGGCCAACCCAGCGCTACCCTCCATTGCCTGCTACTGACCAGTTCCTCCGGCTTTCCACGAAGTTGTTGCTGCCTATTGTGGTGCCTCCTGTCAGGTTAGGGGCTCTAACCTCTCTGCCTTTGCTCTTGGAGTAGGCTCTCCAAGGTATTCTCTCCCTCCCTCAGGGGAGGAGCCACAGAACCCTGAGAAGAAAACTGCCCTAACCTGCCCCATGTGCCCAGGCCTCATGCGTCTGCTGACTGACTCAGGCCCCGTGCTCCTGGGGGCCTTTCCTACCCCCATCAGCATCAATAAAACCTCCTGTCTCCAGTGGCCCCGGCTCCTCCCTATGTGCTGGGCATTAGCGGGTGGGCATGAGCTGGGGCTCCCCAGAGACTGGGAACCTTTTGTTTCCGCGAAGAGGGGATAGAAGACAGTAGGCTTCATTGTGGTTCCCTGCCACCACCCCTCAATTTCCCTAACAAAGCTCTGGGGCTCAGCCACAGATGCCATAGAGGATGCAAAGCTTGAGGAAAAGACTTCCTTGGTCAAGGCTCCAAAGTGGGGCGTTGAAAGCCATGATGAGTCCAAAGACATGTGCTTTCAGTCATACCTCTGAGTTGTCTCCTCCTGCCTCCAAGGCGACAGATCTTTACTGGCAGGATTATAGCCCAAACCAGGCCTCTGCTTCAACTGAAGACTCCTAGCTAGCCCAGCTTCCAGGCTGAGTCATTTCAGAGGAGAGCTCAGCCACTTGTGTGCACCAAAATGGAGGCTGAGGGCAGCCATAGGAAACACTAGGCAGCAGGGGCAAGGGAGACCCCACAGAAAATGGGCGGCTGTAGACTTAACCCCTCCCTTCCTTGCCTCAGTTCCCATGTACACATGAGCCCCAGGAATAACATACCTACCCCAGATTGTTGGCAAAAGAAAAACATTTATTGTCCTTTGAGATAAAATACACAAATCAAAGCTGGGGATCTGGGGCAGTAGAGAAAATGAAGGAAATCAAGGAACCCATTCTTGAATAGGGAAATCTACCTCCGCCCCCTTGTCAGAGGGAAAGGTCTTAATATGCCTGTGATTTTAAAGGTTGATTACTTTGGTTTTTTTCTGAGACAGGGTCTTTCTGTATAGCTGACTGGCCTGGAACTCAGTGTGTAGACCAGTCTGGCCTTGAACTCACATATCTGCCTGCCTCTGCTGTGCTGGGATTAAAAGGCATGTGCCTGACATTTCATTTTTGAGACGAGGTCTCACTGTAGCCCAGGTTGGCATGGATCTTGATGCAGTCCACCCGTCTTGGCCTCCGGTGTGCTAAGCTTACAGGCATATTTCAGCTCGCCCAAAAAGCCAGTGGTTGTAGATAGATGGGAAGGAAAATACATCCCATGCTTGATGCTTCTGGGACAGGCCATCTGTCAGGGACAGAGCACTGCTTCCATCAGATGACCTCAGAGATGCCGGCAAAGCCTTCCCCGCAGGCATACACAGGAACACAATGAGGCTGATGGGAAGAGCATACATCTGGAACACCTGGGCAATTCATAGAACTACAACCACTCTGGTAGATCACTAGACACATCAGTCAAATGAGTGACCTAGAGCGAAATGGCTGTGATCTTCAGGTAGCAGCCATTGCTCAGTGGTTCCTAACCTCAGTGAAAAGTATCTACTTAAAGGTCAAAAACTAAATGATAGTCATGAACCTCAGGACTTTTTTTTTTTTTCTTTTTAGCACCAAGTGGTGGAGCTTTCCTGCCAGCGCAGTTCTGAGGACCTTTCCGTTAGTGGTGATGTTTCTTGAAAATCCCGGTGAGGGTTGGGGAGACACCAGCATGCTGGGGTGAGCCTTGTCACGCCCGCTCCTGCTCTTCTCCCCCAGGTCCCAGCTGGAGAGGACATGGAGAAGGCCGGAGTGGCTTCTTGTTTCTGAAGGGCAGTGGGTTGCCTCTTCCCAGCATCAGAGAAGGGTTTAGAATCTCTTTTCCTCGGGCTGGGAGGTTATGAGCAGCTCTTTGTTCCCGAAGTCCCACCAGGCTGTCATGTGGAACGCCATGTTGGTTAGGACAACAGTGTACTCCAGGATGGCAAAAACGGTATACACTGTTACGAGGACACAAGGAATAGGGCATGGTGAACCTCTTGTTTTACCCTCTTAGTGACTTCCTACATCATCACATTACCAGCCCACCACAGAGAACACAATGATAGCCAGTACCCAAGACCACTGCCTACTATAGAAAAACACCACAGGTGCTCTGAAGTCACTTGTGACCGTTCACAGATCCTAGCTGGTCTCACCTCCAGCCTCACAGTACATGTTGTGCCGGAAGTAGACAGCCAGCGCCGAGAAGAAGGAGACGAAGTTGATGATGAAGAGCCGCTGTTTCCAGCTGTAGGACTTGCGATCCTAGAGGATGGACTATCTGATCACTCTGCGGCTTGTTGGGTATATGTGGGTGGGCTTCCCTCTTAGACTTAGTTCCTAAGGGCTGGGACTCCCCCCCCCCCACTTGGCTCCCAAAGTGGTCATGGAAGGAAATACAGACGGGCAGCAAAAATGATGAGCATGTCCACATCCCTGCATTTAGGGGGATAATGAAGCCAAGGAATAGAGCTCTCTCTTGCCCTTCCCACTTCAGTGGGATGGAGTAGGAAAGATGCATGGAGTTCGCCCACCAACCCAACACTTTCAGGTATTGCTGGGCAAAGAAAGGCCGCGTATGTGGGTGGGGGTTCTCGCAAACCAGCCCACTGACGGTGTTTCTAACCCACTGGGCCTGGCTGCTGGCCTTGATTTTGGCCCCATCTCCAGCCTCTGTGCATTCTCCAGTACTACCCAAATGGTTGACAAGTCAACCATTCACTTTTCTCCAAGCCTCGGCCCAAAGCCCCCATGCCCTTCTGCTGGGATCCTAATAGAAAGTCCTTGGTCAGCCATCATTACCCACATCCTGAGGACAGATGTCCTCGATTCTCTTCTGGGCTTCCTAGTGCCCAGTAGGGGTAGACCGTACCTCCTGACTTACTGTGTGCTTCTTGGTCAGCCGCCAGAGAATGCAGGTGAGGAGCATGTAACTGAGGGATGCCGCGATAAACACAATGAAAGCATTTTCGTGGATGGCTGGAGGGAGAAAGGAGGATGGACACCACCCTCACGCTTAGGCAGGAAAGGGGGCTGTGCCCTCTCCCCGTGCCCTTCACCCCTCCCTTGTCTGGGCACCCACTGAAGTCCTCGGAGGAGGAGACGTAGGTGAGCACGAGCAGCGCGAGGTTCTCCACCACGTTGAGACTGAAGTTGAGGCGGCAAAGGAGGCGGTAACCCGGACACGGGGATGCGCAGCTGAGGTAGTGGTTCCAGTAGGCGAAGGCCGCCAGGAAGCGGGGTGCCGAGTGCAGGCCAATGCAGAAACGCCACACATAGCGCTGGGGAACCTCCCCACCAATGGCAGAGCTCACTGATGGCAGGTAATTGGGCACCTAGAGAGTTAATCCGAGAGTCAAGGCATCCCGTTTGCTGGTCCCGCCCACCAGGAAGACCTTCTTCCCATCTATTAAAGCCACCCCTTTTTCTTCCAAGTTCTCCTTCTGGCGCCCCCTCGGCCTTTCACTTTTAGGTCCCAGAACTGATATGTTTATTCCCTAATCTGGCTGGGATTTGGACAAGAGTAAGGTTATCTCCATCTTTCTTGAAACTGAAACCTGCACATTTGAGCAGGTGTGCATATGACTCAGGGTCTCCCTGTGCTGATAGCTCAGGGTTGTGCCTGAATAAGGCTCTGTGGGCATCCCAGGGTCCCAGACATTGAGTCCTGAAGACCGGGATCGTTGGACTTTATTTGGAACAATGCTACCCTGCTGAGCTGTTCCTCTCACTGCTCCCAGCTCCATGCATTCCTCTAGGCAGGTGCACAATGTGTAGAGAATGCTGTGAGGTCCTGAGGGAAGCCAGGAATTCCAGGTAATCTCTATCCTAATTGTGTGATCATGTTTAAGAAAGTGGGATCTTCTGCCAGGCAGAAGAGGTGGCCCACACCTTTATTCCCCACATACAGGAAGCAGGGGCAGGTGGAGCTCTGAGTTTGAGGCCAGCCTGGTCTTCAGAAGTTCCAGAACAGCCAGGGCTATACAGAGAAACTCTGTCTCCAAAACAAAAAACAAAAACAAAAAAGGAAGGAAGGGAGGGAGGGAGGGAGGGAGGGAGGGA